CGGTGACACGACGCCAAGGAGGCATCTGGCGCGTCTACGCTCGCTAGCCGCCCCAGCAAACGCCCACTCTGACATTGTCAGAGAGCTGTGGCTTGAGTCGTTGCTAAGTCACGTCCAACCGACGATAACGGCTCTGCTGGAAGATTCCTCATTCGACAAAGCTGCGTCGATTGCAGATAAGATAGTTGCACGTGTCGGTAACCAGGATACTTTCCTCGATGCCACGACATCGCAACCATATAGGGGGAACAGGGGTAAATATGCGGTACGGCCTTCACAGCCACGACTACACTTCATACACCAGCGTTCGCCTTTCAAGGACAGAGTCCCGGTGCCCACAGCGAACCCCTATAGGGCTAAGCCTATGTTGGAACGGGCAGCGCAGCCTGCCCACGTTCGCCAAAAGCAACCGAAGGTTCAGAAGCCACCCTCGCGCAAACCACCCAAAGCCCCGTATGACCCCACCGAGGATCCTGCTGGTTCGATCGTAGCTGTGAACCAGGAGCTCGCAGTTGCAGAAGCCCTACACCTACGCGACGGGAAAAGGGTAAGCCAGCGAGTAAGAGCGGCCGTACTCGCCGGCCCGCCCCCTCATGTTGGCCGTCTGTTTTTCGTACGTGACCATCATACGAACGCTAGGTTCCTCGTAGATACGGAGCTGTTTTTCGTACGTGACCATCATACGAACGCTAGGTTCCTCGTAGATACGGGAGCCCAACTGACCATCATACGAACGCTAGGTTCCTCGTAGATACGGGAGCCCAAGTATCAGTCTTTCCTTTCGGTAGCAGCAAGCCGCGAGCTACGACACTTCGGAAATGCGCTGCGAATGGCACTCCCATTCCTACCTTTGGAACAAGACAACTTACGGTCAACCTGGGAGGGAAACGACGGTATCCATGGACGTTCATTCTTGCGAATGTTCCCACTGGAATACTGCGTATCGATTTTTTGCAGTACTATGAATTGCTTGTCGATTCACGTAGACTGCAGTTGATCAACCCAACGTCGAATATCAAAGTCACGAGTCTCAAAGCCCGAACAGACGTTTACCGAATCACGGGTCTAATGCCAGATATCCCAGTGGATTTCCAGACATTGATCGCCCGATTCCCTACGTTGACTAAACCTATT